GTGTTCAAGCTCTCCCACCCTCCCTCCAAGAGCAGAGAGCTCACGTACTTTTTGCTTGGTTGTTGACCTGGTATCTATCACACCCGGTTTTGTCATCAACCTTCCATGCAGTCATTTTGACTTGCCACCTTCTCCCCGCTGGCGTTGCCGCAAGTCTTCTTCATGCATTTCTTACATTTTCTTTGGCATAGGGAGAGCTGGGATTGTAAGGCTACTTTCGAAGAGTGCCGGCTAAAAGGCCATCCACAAACGGACGTCCACGTTTCGATCGGGGTGTCCCAGCTGGCTCCTTCCACTTGATGCCATACTCTCTCTCTTGAGTTGTAGGCCGTGGAAGCCACCCAAAGCTTCTTCGGCAGCTGTGTCACCACCAGATCCTTGCCCACTGTTTTGCACTCTTCCTTCGGCAAGTCCACGACCTTCTTCGCATCACCCGGGTTATCAAGCTTCTCCTTGCTCTTCTTTTCCCTCTGCGCCTTGTCGCCGCTGATGTTTCTGTTCGCTGGCTCCGAATGTATAGCATCTTCAGCATACGACAACACCACCGAGGACTTCCATCTGCCCAGGAACGCCAGTTCTTGTATTGGCATTCCCAACCTCACGTAGTTCATGGCTCCCGACCTCCTGGCCGAGTGTCCTTGGATGCCCTCCTTTGAGATCAGGGCCGGGGGTCCGAGCCAACGGCGAGGACTCTGGCATCGCCAGAGTGGGATGGATCTCCACCTTGGAACCACCGAAAGAAGGTGGACTTCGAGCAGGTCTCTTTGAGCAGCTTTGAAGCTGGAAACACGTCCCCTGGATGGTCAAAGGAAATGATTCTTTTTTTGTGGAGTTGATGGGAAGCCCTCACAGTATGAAGGACCCATGACAAAACCCCACCCAAACTGGTTCTGATCTGAGGATAGACGCTGCGGCTACGTTGGGCCGGTGCAACCAGGTCCAGATTGCCATCACATCTACTGGGTCCCTCTGGTTGATCAACCGTGAGCCCACTTCAGTCCGGCTTGCAGCTGGAGAGCTGTTCGGCTTTAATGTGGGGACATTCGCTGAAGTGCTCTCAGGCAAGTGTCTCCAAATTTTAACGTCTGGGAGGGTCTGGGGTGCTTTGACTTAGCTTTTGACATCTTTAGAGTCCTTTGTTCTTTTGTGAGATCTTTGGATTTCCCTTAGATGGTGCGGCCACCTTGGACAACGCCATCGCGTGGGTCCTTGCTTGCGACAAGCAGTTGGTGTCGGTCACCAGCAACACTGGCAAGGAGCTCAAGTCGATCGCTGAAGCTTTATTCGACGTCACAAAGTCCCGTGGCGTCACAGAGATGAGGATGGTTGACTACACCATGCAGCCTTTGGAGAAGGCGCAAAGTTATATACAAATGTCACTGTCGGCTGTTTGCATTGAAAGGTGTTGATAGGTTAAGATAGGTTAAGACTCTATAAAACTATATAGTTTGTAATATCAAAGAAGCATGATATTGACTTATTTTGTTGGCGCCCCTTGCCAGATTGATCCAACCGGCGTGCCAACTCCACTCCAGTACCGCTACAAATTGACTCCGGCGATGAAAGTCAACAGCTTTCGTCCAAAGGAATTGCCGAGTGAGTTGGACAAGTGCAATCTCCGTGGCAGTCAACTCGGCGCCTTTTACAACAATCGTTTCCAGAAGCTTCCACGGGCAAGCCATTGTGATGTCATTTGGGAGGCTTGAGAGGGATGAAAACTTTAGATGTTATGCCAAGCCTTGAGTCATCAACCATGATAATATGTGTTCAACTTCCATCACACTAGGGACCAAAAGAGAATACCTTTTTCGGCCCTATGCAGGTCAGTGTTGGCAACGAGGTCCCAGCAGTGATCACTCCGCTCAAGCCCAAATTCTATTTGCTTTGCGCCACCGAGATCAGTGGCGGCCACTGCATCCAGCTGAAATGAGGTCTGGGTGATTCTCCCGTAGGTTTGTGTGTGGGGGTTGAATGGCATAGTGGAGGGCTTAGGGAAGCGATGATTGGTTTCACCGGCAGAAACAATGTGAAAGTTGTTCCCATAAAATCTAGCTCAAAACTGGGCTCCTCCAGGCCATTCCCATTTTGGGCCAAGTGACAACCAGGATGGCACAAACTTGTGTGAACAAGTGTGTCAACACCTGATTCGGCTCTCGAGTTTCGAGATCTCAAATCGGGGCGCCGGGCTGCAAGGTGTACGATGTTCGAAGCACTTCAAACCTGTGCATGTGGCGGCAAGTGCTTCAATAGTTGTGAACAGTCTCACCTCGATATGTTTGCTACCCAGAAGTTCTTTTTGTTCAAGGGTATCATGAGTGGATACAGCTATTTGGTGGGAGCCATGGTTCTGCAGCCTGTGGATGCTTTGTCAGACGACGAAGCTCCAGCCCCAAAGGCAAAACCATCCCCAAAGCAGAAAACCCTACCTAGGCCCAAAAAACCTGCCGAGAAGAAGGCTGCTGCCAAGCCCAAATTGAGTCCTACACCCAAAGCTCCACCGAAGGAAAAGGCTACTTCTTCGAAGGCTGAGGCTTCTCAGCTCCCAGTCCAGGGCTCCGACGCGCGAGTGATGAAGAGGCCATCGGCATTGAGGCCGCCGAAGGAGCCTGGAACAGAGCCAAGGGATTGTACAAGAATGGCATGTACGGTTTCAAGGTCAATGGCAAAGAAGTTCTCAAAGCCTCTTGTTTGAACATGTTTGAACATTGCAATTGCAATAGCACCGGTCTGATGACATCAACTTGTTTGCGATGTGTCAAACATGGTCAAACCTGTCTTCGTCCATGGTTCTTGCTCAGTTGAAACCGGTGGATGGCCTGGATGCCACGCAGTTGGAAGCCATCGCGGCGGGACCCCCAAGGTCAAACATCTACTAAAAAACAATGGAAAGTGTGCACTAATCTACCCACTAATCCACTCTAGTTATCATCTAATTTAGATTCTGTTTTTCAGGTGGCAGTTCGGGATGAGCTTGTACAAACTGGAGGTGATATTCAAGCTGCTGGCCTCTTGAAGGTGCCGCAGCATATCCAGTGAACTGTTTGTGGTGACCATGGTCCACAGGGACATTGCTTGGGATCATGTCTCGACCACTACCCTTCTTGGGGTCTTGCCCAGGAAAAGATGGTGATGGCCGCCATTGCCCAGTTCAACGATCCTCCCCCGGCTGAATTGGATGATGCCGCGGCCGACTTGGAAGGGGGGGAGGAAGAAGCTGGAGAAGATGATGACATGATTGACTAGGTGGGGCATCACCTGGAATGTTTGATGGTGGTTGACATGCCATGCCAAGTTCCGTCGACTTCAAACACACTGGTTCATCAGTTAGTTCATCTTGAGCCATTGAACCAGTGCGCAGGCCACTGCGACTATCGTTGTGGGAGAGAGCTCTTCATCGTTTTTGGCCAGACTTGGACTGTTCACTTCTTTTGAAAAAAATGTCATACACTCTCGACGCTGGGTACATGCATGTGACAGTGAAGCTCACAAGTACAGGTCTGGCCGTAGAGTTTCAGACTTTGGAGTGGACAGACTCAAGAGTTGGAAAATTTCCGTGCTCAGTTCCTTGAAAGCTTCAAGTGTATTTCGGACGTTCGGAAAACAACTGGTCACAAACACATGTTTCGCAACTAACAGGGAAACGTTATCACGTGTGTGTTTGTGGGTATATTCAGGTGTGGCTAATAGTGTTTTTTGTGTGTGTCTGTGGCCCAGGCCAATGTGCAGCAAACAATGGAACAAGCCATGTTTTGAAAGCATTGTGATCGCAAGCTTGTTACTTGAATCAATCAATGTGCAGCCCATGTTTTGAAAGCGCGGGGTCGAAAGCGTGGCACTTGAAACAAGCAATGTGCAGCCCATGTTTTGAAAGCATAGTGATCAAAAGCTGCGTGGGAGCACAGCCCATGTTTTGAAAGCATGGTGATCAAAACCATTGTGAGAGAGCATTTTGCCAAAACCCTGGATGCACAGCAAAACCCTGAACCAAGGGAACAGCAAATATCTTTGCTCCAGTGGCCGTAGCCACCGCAGGCCCGACATGGGTTTTCCTGCATCAACTTCTTGAGTCGTTCTTTACGATCAGGTTGTGCATGAGGTTCGGAGCGCTTGAAGTACCCCCTCGCCTGCTTCAAGGCCTTCAACTTGGCTTGAGAGGTCGAGTAGGCCGCCATGGCGGCGTGAGTCGCCGCCTCCAAACATCGGGTCTTCCTCCTCCATCACGGCCCGCTGAGCCTGCACCCTCATGATGAAGCTCTCCATAGCCTCTCCACTCTGTCGGCAGCGCAAGAACTCACGCTGTGCCTTCTCGCCACGCTGCCCATCCAGCTCCTTCACCAGCGGGGACGCTTCCAAGGTTTGAAACACTAGGGAAAGGCCGCCAGGCTTGCTTACCTCCTCGATCTTCAAATGACGGACGATCACGCTTGCTCTCCCTTTGAGGACCGAGAGACAGCGCGGCCCCATCACATCTTCTGGGAGCTGGCCCCCTTCCCCGGCAATCCAACAATGAACGGATCGTTTCCAGGGTGTACGACTCCTCTGAGGAAGCTGAGAATGAGGGTGGGTATGTCGATGGAATCTTCCTGTGCTGCGACTTGCCATTTGCACTTCTAATCTCTGCCTGAATCCCCTCCTTGGCCGCCATCTCCTTCAGGCAGTTCCCCAGGACATCCTCCTCGCCGCTGCTGAACATGTGCAAGAAGCGACAGGTTCTCAGTTCCTGATACTCGGGGAAATCTCTGGCCTGCTGAAGGGCTTCTTTGACCCTGTCCGGGAGGCCCTCCATGTCCACCGGTTCCGGCCCTGTCGACGCGCCATGGCCTCGCCCCAGCGCCTCGTCCGGCCCCGCTCACCCCACTCAAGCCCAGATGCACGGAGTGGATCATCACGCCAAGGCTCCAACGAACGAATCCGACGTGACCGAGGACGACCGAACCGAACGCCCCCGTCCCCAGTCCACCAAACCGTCCTCCCTTCCTACCACAAACTCCCTCACACCTACCTATCACCCTTCACTTACTCCCTTCACCCCTCAAAACACAGGCGTACCCCTGCCCTCAACCACCCCTCTCGCCAGGCACAAGAGAGCTCAGCACCTTTCTTCCCACAATCCTCTACGGGATCAAGAGGGAGATGCTGACTTCTTTGGGCACTCCTCGTTGGGGTGACCGGGTGAAAGGCAAATCATGCACTTATGTACTCGGCGCGTCTTTCCCTTGCACTCAGAGCCAGCTGCTAGCCCTGCACAAGGTCCCACACCTTTTGCCCAGCTGTAGCAGATTTCCTGCCCTGCTTGGTCTTTTACTTTTCCTTTGCCCTTGCCTTTGCTGGACTCCCCCTTCGATCGCTGCTCTCTGAAGCTCGCCAACTCTTCGCGCTCTGAAGCCCACCTCTTTCTCTTTGCCATCCGCTTGTCACGATTGGCTTGTCGTCGTCTGTCACCTCTGTCGTCGTCGTCACCACGTTCTGCAGGAAGTCCAGGATGATGTGCCATTGCGATTGCTTCTGCTGGAGGTTTTGGAGAGCCATGAGCTCCACTCGCTAGCCAAGCAGCTGCTGGGTGACGTGCTTGCTCGTTCCAAAACCTCTCATCCAGTGCCAACGCTCTAAAGCATGCCGTCCATGGATCAGCCTCGGAATACTCTCTCGGTGGAACTCCTCCAGCAGCGATATCCAGCGTGATCGAACGCCGAATCTTCTCAAGCTTCTCGGCCCTGGCCTTATCGTCCGCCTGCACGATCAGACCCCATGCTTTGGGCCATTGGAGCACCAACTTTTCAATGACCTTTTCATACAAGAGGAGGGCGGCCAATGTCACCAAGTTCAACGAAATGCATGCCACCTTGAAGACTCTCCAGCTCACCAACCATTGCTGTAAGTTCTGCGGCCCAGGTAACTCCTTCATCACGAAGGAGCCATCCCCTATCGGTAGGAAAGCCCGGAACTTCTGGTTCTTGAGCACCCTCCTCCCGAAAGGTAGCCACACCGAGAAGTTGACATAGGGTGGTTGGTTTTGACCACGTACACAATGATGTAGTGCCGCCAACTGCGCATCAGTCCGTTCTTCTTCTTCATGAGGTGGAGCACCCATCACTGCAATATACCTTTGAGCCCATTCGTTCAACAACACTGCGTCCGGCAACTTGGTCTCCGAATCGTCCGTCTGGTCCACAATGTTCGACATCTTCAAAACATTGTCCTTGCTACTCCAGTGGTTGTCCCCCCAGGCGAACCTGCACCACCACCTGCCCCATCAAGAGGTCCCGGAGGTGAGTCGGCATCCATGGGTCCTTGTCCACGAACAGGTCAGGGTTACCTCCACCTTGCAGATGGATCACCCACCTCGCATTGCGCCACACCAGCCCCATTTGAGCAGCCTGTATGGGATTCGCTCCCCGGAAGCCAACAGCGCCGCGCCCAGAATCTGCGGGATCGTCCACACTGGCATGGCTGCAATCAGCCGAACATCATTGGCGGGGTCACCGGCCGTGGCCGTGAAGGCATCCCACAAGGGATCTGGCACACCCAGGTTATTCAGGAGGTCCGGCACGTTGTGAATTCCCTGCGCCGTTGCCACGGGTAAAAGGACCATCAGGCAGCTCGCGCAAGAAACTCAAAAGAAAAGTGAACCATGCTGAGATCTTGAACCTCAGCCTGCAGGAGGGGACAATTAAAGCTCGACCCTCCCACCCTCCAAGGAACAAGTTAGTCCTTATGTCCTGCAGTACCTGTGGTACTTTCACAATATTGATAATTACTAATTATATGATGTCTAATAAATATATGATGTCAAAACACACAATGTCGAAATGATGAAAGAACATCCCGGCTCTCCAACTTCGGGTCCGTGAGGCACGTGGTTTATGTAAAAACAAATAGGGCAAAGAATTGGATGCGGTTGAATCCGAGAACTGCTGATGCGCTGATGCGGTCATGCCATGAATCAGTTTCCTTTTCCTCTATCTCCTCCAACAATTTCCACACTTCTGGTGAGTCCTTCTCCCGAGCTGAAGTTACCTGCCATAGAAACATCAATCATCAAATCGGAAAATATGAGGTGGCTGACATTGGCTGACAGTAGTGGGGTCCTGCACTCTGTATTTTCTTGTTGTCAGTTTGTGGGGGCCACTCTGGATCCCTCTGGTCCAGGTCAGGCTATCTTCAAGGCAGCTTCGCTGCCGAAATCTACAGTAGGCATCTGCAGCCCCAGCTTTTTTGCCTCCGATCTATGTCCCATCTGGAGCTTTCGGTTTCATACTGCCACATTGGTCCAAACAAATGGAACTGCAGTGCAAAAGGATGATTCTGACTTCACGTGCAACCTAATTTTGGCACATGCAAGGCTTGCGTGAGATCCATAGTCTATGGGCAGGTCATTATGACATAATTATGAGGTCTTCAGTAAGTAAACATATCTAAATATATATTATATACCCAATCACGGTCAGATGTGTCAAAAGAAGTTCAAACAGCAAAGCCACACACTGTCCTTTCACGACAGCGTTGGCAATGCCTTCTAATTCTGAAAGTGGCCAAACATGTCCAAACGCAAAATGCGGCTACGTGACGTGGGCAGCTGCGGCGAGGACAGGCTTGGACTTAAAAGACCTACTTGCTCCACTATACACCAAGGGTTGACACAGGTCCTCTTTGTTGTGCGTGTGTATGTCTTGACTTCTCCATTTGTGACCTTGCACGGTTACACATATCAACATATATCGACACAACAACACATTGTTGACTCTGGTGTCTTCCCTTTTCAGGAGACCATGCACCAAATTTATCTCCTTGTAGCTTTGTGGAATTCAGCATCAACGCTATACCCAGCCCAGTCAAGATTTGCATCGGAGGCCTTGGACATATCAAGCAACAGCCACCGATGCCTCAAGCTTCTACATTAGCACCCTCCATGGTTGAAATCCAAGCAGTATGCAATGTATATGCACTGTGCATGAGCTAACAACGCCCGGTTGCAGTAATCTGCTGTGGGCGCGGCAAGTCCATTGGCCTAGGCAAACTCCAATTCAATTGAATCATCACGACTTCCAAATACGGTAGAGGCTCGGGGATTCCAGGCTTTGTTCATCCTATATATGATAGGCACTCCATTTTGGCTTGCTTGGGATACTTTTTGGCATGGAATCAACTGGCACTGGACGCTGCTTTGGCACGGTAGAACGTCGAAGTATTCCACGTCCGTGTCACTGGCAACCTGCGACGTGAAGCCAATACAGCGTGAAGCCATACGGCGTGAAAGAATCTACTCCGCTCGTCCTAATGACGCTTATGACGCCAGTTGAGACTCTGGTGACTCACCAACATCTTTCGACTATCATCATCGTCAACTAACAACTAAGAGCAAGAACGCTACTAGGAGCAAAGGGCATCGCTACTAGGAGCAAGGACGCTACTAGTAACAAGAAGCTAGTAGGAGCAAAGGTCATCATCATCATCATCATCATCCACTCCTCTGCACCTCGGTCCAAAGGGTTCTGAGTTCTGACCAGATCAGGCAACCAGCGCACCGTCTATGTCAAAGCAACTCATGCAAAGTCAGTGCATCTGCATGGCACAGAGCTGTGTGGTCGCAAGGTATTCACACATGACGACAAGAGACTGTCTTTGTAACTCTTTGTAAAGGTTCTCCAAGAGAAACGCCCGTACAGCAGCAAAACAGCAGCACCAAACCAGCACCATTTGCAACTCGCACCGCCAAGTATGGCCACCAAAGTGAACATGGCGTGTATAAGCTTTGAAGACTTTGTGTAGCTTCATGTTCTGTGTTCATTGGATCCGGTGACCTGAATCTTGATGGGAGGCTTCATTCTGTGTAGATAGCCGAAGTCGAGGTGCTCGAAAAAGGCCTTGGCCAAGTGAAACGATCAGAAAGAAAGTGCCTCTAAACGCCTCTAGACATCAACCAACAAGTTCTTGAAACTCTTCACACTGTCGCGCTCTCCCAGCCTCCTTCCGGCAACGTCGCAAAGAAAGCCGCTCGTCTGAATTGGAGCATAGCACCCCCTCGATGAAGTGGCGGGCTTTGTTGAACTTCACCGCCTCCAACTATCCCACTCACTGTCAAGGCCAACAGTGGCTTATAACAATGTATGAGTGCGGCGTGTAAGTGGTTAGAATGTGCATGCTAAGCTGCTATACATATCTATACGTGGAACATCATTTATATACTACTCATACTCATACTCATACTTGCGTACATCATCAAATCACTATGCTCCTACAAACAGTGGGCACTGCAACCATGCATACGCCGTATAACTTTAACAATGAAAACAATTTACGATCCAGACCGTGTTACACAACGGAGGGTTGGGCATGAACTCAAGACAAAAGCCAAGTGCAAGTTGATATCGCAACTCTCAATATATCGTTTATATAATTTATAACTCTTCTTAATTACACTGGGCTTGGGGTGCTGAACAGGCATTTTAGAAAATATGCTTGCAACCAGGGCTCGGTTGCACCAAGCACTGATTGCAGATCATACGCTATGTCCAGCTTCGATGGTAGAATGTCTTCAATTCGAGTGTATTGCTCTTCGATGTGACCAATTCGGTGGGCGAAATCTTCATAAAACTCGTCTTGGTCAAAGGGGAGCGACCCAGTCAAGCACTCCTCAGAGCCCCAGATTGGATTCATGTGTGACTGGGGTCACAATACAAATCAATAGAAAAACCTACACCGCATAGTGAAGCAGTGCTGTACCTCAAACCCTCCTTGGACGTGAGCCAGCAGGGGACAATGCAAAGAAGCATCAGGGATCGAACAAGTCGAGCGAGATGTGATCTTAGCCACTTAGCGACTTCCTAAATGCAATGGCCTCCTACCTAATAGCGATGACCTCCAACCTAAGTGCATGAGGTGAGAAAATGTGTGATAATATAAGGCACCAGGATTGATGTGAGACGCAATGAGCGAAAAGTAATCGATGTGGTGTAATGTCAAGTCAGGATTAATAAATCCCCTCTAGTTAATCCGAGCTCACAAAGCCTCCGAAAATTGCCCAAATCAAAAGTAGTATTGGTGGTTGATTTCCCCCTCATTGTCTAGTTGGGCACCAGAAATCCCCCCCAGTTAGCCCGAGCCCAACCAGGTCAATTTTTCGAACTACTACTACTACTACTGCTACTGCTACTAGCTACTGCTACTACTACGACAACCACCACCACCACCAACCACCTACTACCTTAAAAAAACCACAAAAAATGTCTAGGGCTCAGGGCCCATAAAATGCATTGATACAAACAATTAAAAACAATCATTTGACAAGGTCACATAGGGTACCACACACAAGGGCCGGTCCCCATCAATAATCTGCACTACTACCCCCTATTAATTTGATCCTGTATCCCTATTAATTTATTGTGACGACTACTACTACTACCACCACTGCTGCTGCTGCTCCTACTACCACTACTACTACTACTACTACTAACTACCTACTACCTACTATCCACTACCCACTACCCACTACTACTACTACTACTGCTACTTCTACTTACTACTACTTACTACTACTTACTACTTACTACTACAGTACTTACTACTGACTACTACTTACTACTTACTACAAACTACTTACTACTTACTACTTACTACTACTACTACTACTACTTCTACTACTTCCGCTACTGCTACTGCTACTGCTACTTACTGCTTACTACTACTTACTGCTTACTACTACTTACTGCTACTTTCTACTGACTACTACTTCCTACTACTACTACTACTACTCCTACTGCTACTGCTACTGCTACTACTAGTACTACGGCTACTACTACTACTACGACGTCGACGACGACGACGACGACGACCGACTACCACTGCCACTGCCACTACCACTACCACTACGACTACTCCCTTAGCATATTATTCTGGGGAGGTGGACCTCATGAATGGTACCTCAGACTATCCAGACCTTCTAGACCTTCCACGTGGGGGGGCTTATTAGTCCGGTCTTTGCATTAACCACTTCGCAATGCTGCACCTCCTCAATCAACATCAATACTTCACAGATCAAGTGTAGAAACAAATTCCTGCCCTGGGCAGGATGCTGGAGCTACCTTTTGCAACAATCCAAGGCTCGTAGGTGATGATGCCAATGGCCCAAATGTCCGTTTTAGTCTGGCTAATGCCTTCGAAGGACTCGGGTGCCATGTACGCCTCGATATCTCCATGTCGAAGCATGTCGTGCAGCAGGTTTTGGAGAAAGCAATTCGCAATCGCAGAGGTCTCAACAGGTCAATCAATGCAAAAATTGATGATACAGTATCCAATCTCAAATCCAAGAGGCTGGGGTTCCACAGATTTCGGGAGCACATTCACCCTTGCGAGAAGGTGGTGCTGAAAGACCAAAGTCCAGCCTGGAAGCCGGTCAAAACGCGGCTTTTGGAGGGTGCAAATGAGCATAAGCATGCTTGATTATCACACTGGCAACTTATGCCATTGCACACACAGTATATCACAGTATCAAACTGTGATTGTCCGGTGCGCAGCTCCTGCTGCCAGTGCAAACCCCACAAAATCCACAAACGGCAAGCCGGGCCCGGGGCGTGTGAAGGCGACACCCAGGCCGAACACTCAACCAACATCAACCAACCACCTCCACTCTCTGGAGCAAGTACTTCAAAATCCTCAAATACATAAAGATCAATAAAGACGTGTCCACTGCGGTCCGGACCCGTTTCGGACTTTTCAACTACAGTCACAATGGAATTTTTGCAATTCGACGACGAGAGAGAGAGAGAGAGATGCTTTTTCGTAATTAGGTTCGAGAGGCGAAATGGAATGGCCAGGGAACTTCCAGAGTTCAACTGGCTCGGCCCATTCATTGCCCAATCGAAGTATATTTGGCACACAAAGGCAATCAACACTTGGCAGTTGTCATCCGAACCACCAGGGTTCCCGGCACATACAATGAGCCAACAGGTGGCAAACAGGAACAAGAAATGGCGAAGAAACTGTCCGCCCACTTGTCCGCCCTTATCTCTGTCTTGCTGAGCAAATCCGAGGTGCAACTTGAGATGGCCCTTTGACGTGAGCATCATGTTGTCCTTACGGATTCCATTCGGCTCCGTGCCCGAAACGTTGAATGAAATCAACCGTGCTCCAAACGGGTGACACAAACTGACATTGTACGGCTGCTCTTGCAAGAAGAGCTACCAAAGTAGGCAAAGTGGCCGGCTTCAAATCTCTGTGAATCGCACCCATGGCAACATGGATGGCATCAACAGCTTCGATCAACTCTGCCATATAGAAAGCAGTCTCTTCCAAGGACAATCGGCCTCGCCTAACAATATCTAACAATAGGGTTCGAACCGCTACGCACGCAATCTCCATGCAAGTCCACAAACATGTGGCCAACGCCTCTCGATATGCGTTCCCAGGCTGCCCCCTTGCAGAAATTCCATGACCAAGAACACGTTGGATGCATCCTACAAATGCTGCACAGCTGCACGAAGCAACAGTTGGCCCAAACCACAGCGTGAACCACAACGCTAGCTGCCTGTCCTGGAACGAGCACAGCAACCTAGCACACCAGCGGTCTGTTCGATCCAACAAGCCATCACCCAGCAACGCATCTCGCTCATTGATGGCCAAGGAGTTCTTGCGTTTGTAATAGGACTTGCCTCAGCGGACCAAGTGGATGGGAAGTGTATCCCACCGACATGATCTTGCCATGTTGGAGCCGGTCCCACGAACTTGAAACTGCTGAGAATCAGGCTAACACACTTCAACGCATACACCCGCTCATTGCTGATGCACCTGGGAACAGGAGTCAGCTTTCCTACTACCAGAATGTGAAGGCCCACTGACCCTCTAAAGGTGCGCGGGTGGGGAAGTGGTCTGGATGTACATACATTATCGCATATCATAGCTACAAGATCTACAAGGCATCAGTATAATATAGACTATAGATATGAAACCATGAGAGTGACTCGTATTGCATTCGGACTTGTATAAGTAAACTGTTGAGCACCTTTGTCCTATGGATAAACTGTTGATCGTATGAAATTGTATCAAGAAACCGTTAAGAAAGTTCTTTGATAGCAACTGAAACCAATACAGTGCAATACTGATTAAGGTTAGTGGACTTTTGCAGGGAAAGCAGCCATGGTGGCCCCATGCAAAGCAATCATGCCACGACCGCACCCACACTATCCCACCTCACCAAATGCACCACGCCGAAGGAGCCCTGCGGAATTGGCGGTTGGAGCTCATTTGGCAGCCAAAAATATATACCAAAGGAATCCAAAGGAGGTGTTTGTACACTGTTGCCATATGGCACCATGTGTTTCCCTTGGCTACACAATGTTGTGGAGCTTGGTGCGCTTGCCAACACGCAGTCCCTGTTCCATCGGCTGCATAGTACAGTATTGTGTGGCACTGCACTTTCAAGTTTGTCCCTTTGGTGCAGGACCGCGAGCACAGCCGAGCTTATATAAAACGTGGGTTTTCCTCCATGAGCGCCAATGGACCAAGTTGACATGTACAAACGGCAAGTAAAGGAACACTATGGCAGTGCTTGCTGCTTGCTTTGCGTTGATCTTTCTTGGTCAACATCCAGCATGCCACGGCAGGTAACGGCAGCAACAAGGCATACGTTCTAGTGAGGTCATTGTGCGTAGTAGGCCAAACATGCACAACAGGGAGTGCAAACAATGCTTTGTCAACTCAATGAGCACAAAGAAAATAATAACATGTTGGCTCGCCACAGCGGTACGGTCTACCCTGCCTGCCCGAGGACAGCAATGGGTGAAAAGTCGGCCGTCGTCCACCTTGGGCAAATGGATGTGGCATCTCTCGTCGAAGCAAATCCCTCAAATATCTATGTGCAAGACATCCGCAGGAAGCTTCTCATGAGCTTGTCTTCAGCTGCCAAATGCCTTAGCTTGCTCTGGAACTGTCTTGGATCGCTCACTTCGACCAGTGTGGCAGTTGTCTCCAAGTTTGTAAGTTTGTGCTCATGAAGGCCTAAACCAACGCACAGGAGAAGTTGATTTTCAAGAAGAATGTTTGGTGTCCATGTCCAAGTAACTCCTGCATCAGTGCACGCAAATGTTCAGCTTTGATGTCCTTGGCAGCTGTGAGCAAAGCTCATGAGATCTCTCTCTCTCTCTCACGAGCATTCCACACCCTGTAGTGAAATGAGGCAAGACCACAAGACTGCTCCTCCTTTGCAATTTCCAAACCAGCAATGATCAAGACAAGACTAACCCAGCTCAGCCTTTATGCATCCAACGTCTGCGAGCTAGGATAAAGGGTCCCGGTATAAAAGCTTTAAGCATCGCTGTCCGAGGTCCACTGGTGGATATGGCAGGGGGCTTCTGAGCACTGGGCTGTGCGCCGCACTTTGTCGAGCCATTCATCGCGCATCCTCTTGATGGCCCTGCAACACAAAAAGCACATGGTCAAGAAGGAAAAAGCAAATTCGGTTGAAGTGAAACGACGCCCCCTGCTCTACTTAAAGTACGGTCAGTGCTTCATTTCAGGAATTCCTCCCCCTCGGCAAGGCATGGCTTATAGCGCTCCGGACGCAACCCTTAAACTGTCGCTCTACACTTGGCACCTGTTGGCCCTCTCCTTTTGCTCTCTCTTCTGCTGATGCAGATCGTTGGCTTTGCTGCTAAACAAGCCCACCTTGCGCAGGCGAGACAATCTGGCAAAGACGACTATTCTATATATAATCGGAAGTTTGAGGTAAAGTCAAATGGGAAACATAAAAACAGCACGTGATAGGGACTGGAAACTAATTTGAAGTATATATATTACAGTACTTATATATATTATATCATGATATATAACTATAATTAATATATGTTTACATAATCCAATCCAACCGAGTGAAATCTCACCATGAGGGGTAGCCGTAGCGTGAAAAGGTGCGGCGAGATCAATGAAAAAGCTTGCAGCACCATCAAGTGGAATGGACAAGGTTGCAGAAATCAAGCATTAACATGTGCAAGGGAGGATGGTCGAAGAGCGATCCCAACCCCCTGAAAAGAAAACAAGTTTCCTCAAAATATGCGTCAGCGGTCTTCAGCAAACATGCCTCCTTTTCTACATCTTCTGCGTGCTTTTGCTTCCTTGCCTTCAACACATCCAAACACTGGCGGATCTTAATCAAGTCAGACTCACGGCAACTGTGCATTCGCAATCCAAATAACATTTATACAACGTGTTTAAGCAAGTGCAAGCTGTATGGTGACATTGCTCTCCTGGTTTTCACGTCGAGCTTTTTCAACTTGGATGCTGTCCACAACTTTCATGTTCCTGTGAGCTTTCGAGCCGACTTGCTCACTGACCCAGGTGCCCAAGTTATACTAGTAGATACTGGTAGCTTAAGTAGCTAGGAGCATCTTCCCGTATTTATATAATGAAGTAGGCACTAGGCATCCACTCAATAAATTAAGAGCGGCGAGGAGCAAGGACGCTACTAGCACTAGGAACAAGAAGCTACTAGGGGCTCCTGGCATCGCTACTAGGAGCAAGGACGCTACTAACAGCTCCTGGCCTTACTACCAGGATCAAGAAGCCATTAGAAACAAGAATTCATTAGAATTGAAACAATGTCTGCACAAAGTTCGGTCCTGGGCTCTTGTTCCTGGGTTCGATCTTGTGGCATAGGTTAAGCGGTTTCACCGCACAGCGAGGTGGAATCACGACAAGGAGTGTTTGAGCTTAAATGCTTCGGTAAGTCTACTTACAGTGCCATGCGTGTTGCTTCCGGAAAGTCTTTTACGCTTGTTGCACAAAAATGTAGCATACGTCATATCGATCTTTGCATATCTTTACCCTGATTATTGGCATGCTGGTCTGAAACCAGGCTTAAACCAGGGCAACCATGCACCCAGAACACAACGCAACCCTTGGACAAAAGGTAGGTAGTCAATCTAGCAGTTTTTCCGCTTGGTATCAAACAGTGTGACACAAATGAGCTTCGGAGTACATATCACGGGTGTACGTGGTTTGTAAAGGCAGTGCGACGTTGACAAAGCTTGATTGAGGTATATTGAGGTCACAATTTCAATTACATGTTTGCTCTCTCTTTCTCTCTTTGCGGGCGTATTGCTCGAAGCAAAGTGAACTCAGGTAGCTGAGGTTACCTTTCGTGAAATCTGCCAAAATCATTCCAATGGTTTGGGTAAATTTATATATGGGCTGCTAAGCTGCTAAACTTTGCCCATGTATCGGCACTTAAACTGAACAAAACCCCTGATCCAAGGTTCTGCAGCCTCCCGTGACTTTCAGAAGATCACCTTATGCTGTCGTAAGCCCTCCATACCTGTCACCTTGCCTCCGAAACCATCGCTTCCATAGCATTCTGGTGCTCCTGACCAAAAGGCAAAATTGTCAAAAAGGCAATCTAGATCAGTTTAAAAGATCTATCTCAATGGACAAAAGGGTGATAAGGCTGGCCAACATTGAGTCAACGTCTTGCAACCTTGCGTTTTTAGTCAAGGTTCCCGTTTCTGCTTCTTGATGCTGGCTTGCCATGCAGCACACAGGCTCCCAACAATATCCACCACTTCCTGGCAGAATCTGAATGATCACATAAATCAAAGGGACATATTTATACAACATATGCAAAATAATTCAATGTATGCTCATTGTGAACATGGCCTGAGGTCCAAGAAGGGCCGGCAAGCATTCTTGGATTGCCTGCAGGTTTTGTCCACCATTTTGTGATGGCGCTGTGTTGCATGGGCCACTTGAACGCAGCTGCTCAAGTACATCACAAGCTTCGGCGGTTTCCTGTGCCTCTGCAAAGTTTCCCTGTGACGCGCAAGTCTGCACTTGGCTCAAAGCTCGGTGAAGTTGCGCTGCTCGTGGTGATGTGGCTGACGAGGAGGCTTCACGCGGGCCTGTTTCTGCAGCATCACAGTGCCAGACTGCCGGAACCTCTTATGAACAACAGCCGCAGCGGCAAACTCAACAACATGACATGGGCAAAAACGCCTTCTGTGAGGTGCTAAGTTGCAAACGTGAGCCATTGAATGCCGCTGCAGGATTTCAATCACAACAGGCTTGATATCTACTTTTGTTTAATGAACCTTGACTCATTTCTCATTTGTGGAGGTGCGTTGATCTCTAGCTCAGCTTGCCGTCCTGGCCTCCTGTGGGCTCAGCGGGCTCTACTTCAGGCTCTGCAGATGGAGGGGATGAGCTCTGTGCAGTGCTGGAAATGGATGGGAATGCCTCAAGCGGGCATTCAATGACAGCTAAGTTTGCGCTGTCATAGTGGCAGACTGTAAGTATATAAATTGAAGTGCAGTGGAGAGGCCCAAAACTTCTTGCCACTTGCAACATCTGGCAAGCATTTTTTACATCTTACCATATTGATATTGGGAAAACGTGGAAAGAATGTCATGTTGTAAAATGAATCTATTGGCCCATGACTACTGACTTCAAATTGCTGACTGCCAAAGTACCACTCCATCTTGCAAAGCAGCAGGCTTTCTCAACTCCTTCAGGTTTGGCACACACAGTTGAGTATGGCCTCCAACCTAATAGAGATGGCCTCCATACTTCAAAAGTGTGTCCAAAATTTGGTTGATAGAGCATGGGCCACCGCCATGCCCCCTTCCCTTGATGCGGATGTGCTGGAAGTAACTGTTGTACGGTATGCTGTGCCCGGCGGAATCACAAACAAACCTATAACTTAAAGCTATATACATGCGTCTCCCTAAGGACAAACACAAATACCGAATACCCATGCATGTTGATCTCCATAATTAGACACGCAATCCAAATAACACATCATAAACCCATTGCCAGTAGGAAGGCCAAACACACGTAAGTGCATCAAGAACGGTAAACATTACAAAAATAAACATCACTTTCAGGTTCGAGTGGTTGCTAGGATACAATTGTAAACTGAGCATCTTGCCGCACTGCCGCACCCTCATACATACTAGTTTTCAGCCCCACCTGATTTCTAGTATGCCACAACAAGCTGATGTTAGGCTGTAACTCCTTTCATTTGTCTGTGCGATTTTCTTTGGGGATCTTTTTTGTTGCGTTTGGAGTGGATCTAAACAAGTTGTTCCCAGAATGAAAAAGTTGTGTTACAAAGCCAGAAAAGCAAGCGAAAGCAACACCAACTCAAGGGTTGAAAACCAACTTACCAAAAGTGAAAGCCACAAAGACCACAGAAAGAAACAAACATTACGATAGGGAATCAGTACGCCACAAGAAGACAAGAAGAAGGAACGTAAAGGAGAAAAGCCAGGACGGGAGCAGGAAAAGTAAGAAAAAACATTCATAAAGAAGCAATGAAAGCAAGGAAAAGCAAGACAAACGCAGAAAAGTAAAGCAGAAAGAGCAAGAAAAGCGGGAGCGACCACAGAAAAACAAGGAAAAACATGAGAGATCATAGAGAAGCAAGGAAGAGCAAGAAAAACTGCAACACGAGAAAACAAACATCCATAAAAATCCCCAAACTCACCGAGATTTTTTCGAAAACATTGCACTCCTTTAGGAAATGTCATGAATTGTCCAATCCCCAGGTCCGAGGTTTATCAATGTTGGGGCATTGTCGCGACGTGCACATTGCACTGAAAATGGGCGCATCTCTCAAGCTGGTCGCCCGGTAGCTTCCGTCAAAACGTATACAAACAGCACTGGGTGCTAAATACACAGAAATCGCTCCGGGCCCAAGCCTCCTTTTGGCACGATGATGTCAGAGATTCAGAATCACTCGACGCCCATGGATCATCAGCTGGAATGCTGCTCCCTGCCTTGGGTTGGGCCATTTTTTTTGAACATTGAGCGCGTCCTTGCTCCTAGTAGCGATGCCAGGAGCCCCTAGTAGCGTCCTTGCTCCTAGTATTAAGTCTATCTTTGCCAGCCAGGCAATGGAAAGTTGATTTATATTTTTTCATTTAGGTCTTCATTGAGATCATTCACCAAGGGGAATCGGTGTAGCAGGCAAGGGGGGTATTACTTCCAATGGGCTTTAGTGGAAAAAATCTATCTCAAAATGATCTTTTAAGTGCAAAAATGTAAAAAAAAATTGTATGGTTTGCATGACACTACTCAATGCAATGTAGTATTCAGCGTGCACATCCTGAAAAGGTTAATGCATCATGTTGTAACCAAAGTTGTTCCAGTGATGTGACCTATGCAAACATTTTAAGCATAATTGAAGTTTGTTCATTTAACAAAAGAATTGTTGGATGTTGTTTGTGTACTGATGCACTCAAAAATGTAGTAATCCTCATTGACTGTCAGTTGTGAATCATCTTTGGAAGTCTATTGTCAACGAACTGTGAATCAATTGCCATGCAAACCTCATTGACCGTCAGTTGTGAATCATCTTTGGAAGTCTTTTGTCAATCAACTTTGAATCATGTGCCATGCAAACCTCATCGACTGTCAGTTGTGAATCATCTTTGGAAGTCTATTGTCAACGAACTGTGAACCAATTGCCATGCAAACCTCATTGACTGTCAGTTGTGAATCATTTAGAAGGCTTTTGTCACTCAACTGTGAATCATTTGATCATTTGTTACCCAGTTGTGCTTTCACTCAGCTTTCTTGCGTTTGCTTTCTTCTTGGTCCTTGAGCTCAGCACTGGCCAGGAACTCAGTGGAGGTAAGGGTTTTCTCAGTGGAGTGAGATGTGGCAACATGAAGTCTGTATCAGATTGTATCAGTCATTCGAACAACAAGTTGTTGTCAAGCATAGGAAGCAAGCAAAGCAAGTGACATGCAGTGCACTTGGAGTTGAGGTCTGATCAGGGACCTTTCATTCGAGGCAGAAGTGTTTGGTCATGGCTGGCATTTGTGATTCACTACTGATCACTATCTTGATGCACTTTTGTCATGGCCTTTGTCATTTGCAACCAAGTGTTGGGTCATGGCTCACTAATTTGATGCCCTGTTGTCACTCCTTATGTCATGGCCACACAAAGTTGACCAATAGTACTTAGTACTTGATGTTGCAGGCCAGCGCAAATGAGCTTGTCTTCGTGCTTGGTGTTTGGAAGGCTGGGGCTGGGTGCTCATGAGAACATGTGTCTTTTGTCAGTCAGTCAGAGCAGCAAGCAAGAATGTATCATGAACGCTGTGGAGGTTGGTTAGTCAAGATGAACTCTTTTGCTTGTCTTCTTGCAGTGCAGTTTCAATGTTCAAATCATTCATCAATGAACCACCATGGAAGTTTCAAGGTTCAAATCATTCATCAATGAACCACCATGGATTAGAGCGTGCATCAGTGATCTTACATAATATAGACCAGCGCACAAAGCATGTTCACATTCACACATAATAACATAATTAATACACATTCACACCACCAGTACTATACAGCACTAATCACTACATTCCATCATTCACTTCACTAACTTTCTTTGATGGCAAATCAGCCTGGTAGCTCTGACAGCGTCGCCATAGAGCTTTTGGATTGGGATTTGCCGAAGGATTTAGAGCGGTATCTTGGCAGCAAACAGTAGTGCATTCTCAAATTGATGGAACTTGCATTGTTGAGAGGAGTAATAGTCCAGTAGCCTAGCAGCCTGCATTGCAAAGTGTGTGTTACATGTCCTGCAGGCCTGGTCAACAAGTTTCTTGGCAAGCAGCTGCCCACAAAAGCATTTTCCCTCACTTGACAGTCAAAAGCCAAATCACACCGACTCACATGGCATCCTGTAATTCTGGAGGCTCTATATTTGCTGCACTTTGTAGATCCAAAAGAGGCAGCAGAAGTTTTGACGCTTGGCTTTTAATTCCAAAGGCTGTTGATTGATTGGTGAGACTTGAGCATACTTGGTAAAGATGTCATGTCAATGAAATTGAGTCAATTGACAGTGCAATCATGTCACTTGTCAGGCAAGCTCTCACAAAGAATCCTGGCAGAATCAATAACCCAACAGGCTGGGTTCTCAGAGCGGTCAAGCAACGAATTGAGCAGCCCCTTGCCTTAATAAGGTCCTAGGTGTTGAGACTGGATTCAGGGCCACCATTGTTCTTGAATGTATAGGTTGATGGTTGGCTCTGAGTGATGATGCCTGTGCACTGTAAGTTGGAGTGATCCAAGGTTGAATTTGGCCCTTGGATTCGATGACGAGCAATACCATAAATGTCACCAGAGCTGGCGAGACCACCAGTGACCTTTATCTAAATTAAATTGCACTGGCTGTGACACTGGCATGGTGATCTATGTACAACACAACTTTGATTTGATCAACAGTGAGGATGTGGGCCAAGTGCTCTCTCCAAGTGGGAGATGGACTCAGTGGCCAGGGAAGGTGGTGGTGGCAGGGTTTCCACAGAGGACAGGCAAGTTCTCCCAGTTCCGCTCGGTGGCTGTGGCCCACCATGACCTTTGCGACATGCTGCCCAACAGGTGCCTGGGACTTCATTGGTGTGTGAATGAATTGAACCATCACTGATCATGTTGATCTGAAGTCAGACTGATTCATTCATGGGGCATCATAGGTACAGCAGTTGTGATGTGAGAACTGTTTGGCACTAAGGGAGAGAGAAAAAGGGAAGTTCAAGGGCAAAGGCAAGGGCGGCTATGGCAGGCCATCTGGACTGGAGGGCTATGTGCAGCATCAGGCTCAACAAACACCCACACACACACATTGAAGCGCTCAAGCAAATCAAAATGTTTGAAAGACATAGACAAGCCTAAGATTGAGGGTGTAGCTGGGTTTGGGAGAACTAGCTTGTCAAGAGTGGAAGGTGTAAGACAGGGTCATCAAATTCTGGGCTTAAATGAATGCAAAATGGCAGGTGTGTGCCCATCCAAAATTCACTGCTTGCATGGTCGATATTTTGGAAACTCCGGCAACAGTTGTGAAGCCACTTGGCAATCAAATCATATATCTCAGACTAAGCAGGAGGCCTTGCCATGTCCTCTTTGAGAATCTAGTCAATAACAATGTGGCAAATGTGTGGCACTGTCCCCTCAGGTTCAATTGCTCAGCAGGGTGGCACCGC